TCATCCTCCTTGGCTTGATAGTGTTATTGGATTTTCTATAAATGCAATCACTCATCCTCTTCATTTTCCCACACCATTTGTTACATAACTCTTAGAAAATGTCTTCAACTCCCTTGCCAAAGTTTTCACTGATCAAAAGAGATGTGCATGTTATTTTTTCGGCAACAAAGCCTCCGGTGAAGATCAAACTCTGGAACACGCGGACGTTCGAGCATTTTCAGAGGCACTTGATTTGCTGGTTGGAATGAGACATTCCTGAAGGTGAACAAATCAGAAAAATAGAAAGGCACATCATAGTGAGAAACGAAAATGGAGTAAGTCAATCATGGAAAAATGTGAGATGTGACGCTGATGTCATGATGATGATGCTTGGACCAGAGGATATTGTGTTTATGGTTTTTATCTCTTAGATATTATGATTTGTTTAGTTGTTTTGTTTGTTTATCATGTTGTTGTATTGTTGTCCTGAGTATCTGGTGTTGTAATTTTTTGTGTCATGGTGTGAAAGTTGTTGTACTCGAATGATAAATTTAACATGAAATGATAACTCGAATTTAAATTGAAATATATTGCGTACAACAAATTAAACACTTTGGAAAATTTGCTATAAAAAAGTTAGGTTGCAGAGCTAGACCCAATATTCGGACAATTTTTCCGATTGTGTCCGGGAAGACGACATGTACTGCATAATCTTATCATTTTGTTGGCCGTATTCATTTCAGTTCTAATATGAGTGTTTTTCCAGCGCCCCTTTTTCTTCTGTCGCATTTGTTCATTGTGCCAAATAATGTCCCCTTGATAAGCATGCCAGTAATCCTCATTTGCCAACACAGAGAAGGTATTGATGTACACACTTAAAACGCTCTTTACCGTATACACGGGGGATATATTTTGTATTGGGTCCAAGCGAACATGCGAATATACCGCTATGACATGAGAGCAAGGCATGCGAAATGCTTGAAATTTTCCGCAATCACACCAACCTCTATCTAGTTCGACCCGATAATATCTCATTGGCCTCCCCTCATTATGATTCATTGTCTCTTGTACACTTGACCAACCTTTAATACGGTCAAACACGGTGACACTATGGGTGTTTGCTTTCACAACCTCCTCGTTAAATGTTTTCATCGTGCATTCACTGAACAACTGCCCTGATTGTAACACTGCCCTCCATTTAGAATTTCTTGTGTCAAACAATGACCCCATCCTGAAATATGTTGCTCTAACTAAAGCAGTAATTGGTAGGTTTCGGATGTCTTTGAATACAAAGTTCAATGATTCCACCAAATTTGTTGTCATGTGGCCCCATCGTTGACCATTGTCAAATTTCCGAGTCCACTTCTCCACTGGAATGTTATCGATCCACCTTAATGCTTCTGAGTTTTCCAATCGGATTTCTTCGCGATAGTATCGGAATGACGGTTCTGTTAAGACATACCCTGCATAAATAACTTTCTTTTGAAGTGTCTTGTCTTTGATATGGAGCGTGAAGTTTTGTGTGATATGTCTAATGCAATAGACATGTGTCGAAGGGGGATCCTGCCAACCGTTATCAGGGTTATTGTATGCACTCACAATCGATGGATGTTTGTATGAAATCAAACAAAGGTTGGGTTGAGGAGCAACGTGTAATCAAAGATTCTTCATAAAGAAATTCCATGCACCACCTGTCTCACCTTCAACTAGAGCGAAGGCAATCGGAAAAACATTATTGTTCCCATCTTGTACCACTGCCATGAGTAATGTTCCTTTATACTTCCCATATAACCAAGTTCCATCAATCTATATAATAGGTTTGCAAAATGCAAAACCCTTGATGCATGGTTCAAATGCCCAAAACAAATGATGAAATATTCCATTTCCACTAACACGAGTTCTGTCTGGGGTAAAAGCCGGAAGTGTCTCCAAAATTATAATAGTTCCTGGAGCATAATATTTTAGTGCCACCATATTTTGACCGGAGCATAATATCTTATACGTAATTCATGTTTTAATAGGATGTTAAAAGATTTCGTTACCGTGTCCATGAGTATGTCCCTTACGACGTTCAAATTGAACCGTACTTATGACATACCGGTTTTGGTTTGTTACTCAACATAGTCAATTACCGTGTTGACTATAAAATTATTCTCGCATTAATGGAGAGATGGAGACCCGAAACTCACACATTTCATCTTCCATGTGGTGAATGTACAGTCACACTAGAGGACGTGTACATGTTATTCAGTCTACCGATCGATGGTAAGGTTGTCAATGGTCGAGTCAACCAAGACAATGCCATATACGAGGAACTTTTGGGAGTCTCTTTATTTGAACAAGGGTCAAGAGGCCAAGGTATTAATCTTCGTCTTCTTAGAGAATATCATAGTAGTCTCGTAATAACCGAAAACTCTACCGAGCAAGAAAAAATTGTGAAAACTCGGTGTTATATAATGATATTATTTGGCCATTTTTTATTTCCTGAAACAACGGGTAATACTGTTAATATCATGTATTTACTCTTGTTAAGACAATTTAATAAAATAAACACATATAGTTGGGGTTCAACTGTTTTGACCCATCTGTATAATTCCTTGTGTAAAAATGCATCGAACGATAGTTGTTCTTTCTATTCTTGCGCCTTTTTGCTCCAGACATGATGCTGGTCGAGAATGCCGACACTCGTCCCCCGCAACACAAGGTCATTCGTCTTCCCCTTTGCTACAAAGTAAGATTACAAAACCATAAATTTTACATATTATATACCGAGACATGTAGTATATTAATTTATTACCCATTTTTTCTATGTAGGTGGTTTGTTCCTGGGATGAATTACAACAAATCCCCTAGAAATGCAATAGTAGTCTTCCGAAATCTTATTGATCTTGTTGGACCCGAAGAGGTATTAAACTTACATATTTTATACAACACATTCAATAGTTTAATTAAGTTTAATATTTTATATAACTTTTTTTACTCTACAGTTTGTATGGAGGTCGTATAAGGATCTCGACCATGAGATTAACCCTCCTAATGCTGAAGTCTGGACTGCAAAAACAGCATTCATCAGGTTCACTACTGTGGAGATGCACCACAGTGATCGTGTGAAGCTACAGTTCGGCATGCAGCAGGGTATCCCCTACCCCTAACATGTTTAGGCCAATGGCATCTACTCAGAGTTGACGACCAATGGGGATTTAACGATTTGAGAGACTTTGCTAAAAATCAATGTCGTCAATGGAGGCATAGACGTGAATTGGTCCTAAGGGAGTTGATCTTACAAGATGACTTAAAACCAACGCTCCAATATTTGAGATGGTACACATCAGTTTCAACAAATTTGTTTTTGTCTCAAGAGACTTATTTGATCGACCCACGCCAAAGAGCTGCAACATACGTCCAACAACAACCCCAACAACCAACCCCTCGACAATACCTAACCCAACAACCAACCCCTCAACAATATCAAACTCAACCACAATGTCAACCCACTCAAACCCAATAACCATACACCACCTCATTCAACCAAACTCGTCATCAATTCATGTCACACACACAAACACAATACCAAGAGCATGACTCGACCCGCCACCAAAAATATGCACCATCCTCATCCTACCACAACACCCAAGACACATATGATACATCTCCTTCCTACCATACCACCCAACCTACATACAGTCAAACATCACACCATCGAAGTACCCAACCATCATACGAATTGCATACACCACAAGAACCGTTGCTTCGTTTCCATCACGATTCAACATTCTAATACTATCAACCACCCCACCACCCACACATATCCCAACCAACAAGACCAAACTTCAACAACATGGACACCGATCTCTTTAGAAACACAACACAGTGGAGCGAAATGATCGATGAGATGCATGATCCTGATGTACCAGGACCATCACATCAAACACCTCATAATCAAGCGAGTCAGAACATACTACAAACACCTCAAAAAAATCAACAGACAAGAGACAAGACAAAAGTGTCGCTGTTTATGTCATACTGGGACCTGTTTAGGTTGAAGGGACGTCTAAAAGAAACGTATCCATGCGTTGTGTACTATTAAATATTAATATAAAATATTTAATTACTTCTGTTTCATTTTTAAAAAAAAATTACAATAACACTGTCAAGTCAAGGAGAGTGACGCCTCCTCTCTAAAAACACATGTATGCACCACACTGCATGACTTTACATAAGAGAACATGACATACAGTGTGGTGCCTTATCTTAAAATTGAATACATACACCACACAAAATGATTATTTTCTCTGTGTGGTGAAATTTTTTTATTTAAGTAATTATTTTAATAAATTTTTTGAAAAAATAGTTATTTAAAAAAAAAATATTATTTGAAAGAAAAAAAATTCTCAACAAATATTCATTATTTGTGTAGGGCATAATCACACCAAAATAAAAGTAGTAGGGTATAGCACAGCATAAAATATCGCCAGAAAGAATTAAAACACCCTAGACACGTAGAGGATCTAGCCAACGAAAATAAAAAGAAGATAATCGAAGTTCATAGAAGCCACTTCTAGTAAGTACTACTAACCTGATTATTATTATAATTAATTTATCAACCACTTTGATTATATTTAATCTCTGAATTATCATAATCTGCAAGTGATTATCCCAACCCAGTAATTAAAAACACAACAAAATCAAATAATATTATTTGTTGGATTGTAATTAAAAAAATTAATAATAAAACAAAACATATATGCAATAAAATGAAGATCAAATGCTTCTAATTCACAAACGAAATACATTCCATAATAATCTTTTGACACAAATTTTGTTTTTGCAATCTAAAAAAAGATAAAATAAACCCAAACAACTTTCTTTTATGTGTATTTAAAAAGTACCCACAAAGACAAATGAAGAACCAAACACATATCATCAAGAAAGAAATCACCACACAAGGCCTTAATGATAGTAATTAATTAAACAAAACACCCCCAATACCACAAAACAACACAATCATTCCATCAGAATCTTCAATGAGATGTAGTCTCATCCTTATGATGATCTTTGTGTTCACCATCAGTAGCAGTCTTAGCATGATAACCAGGAAGCTTCTCCTTAATCTTTTCCAAAATACCTTTCTTCTCTCCATCGTGAACAGCTGTTGTTGTTGCTGCTGTCTCAGTGTGAACAGGAGCAGCAACAACAGGTGGAGGAGTTGTTACATCCTCTGCTTTCTTGTGTCCTCCCGGAAGCTTCTCCTTAATTTTGTCGAGGAAACCCTTCTTTTCCTCGGTACCTGTTGTTCCTTCAACAACCTCAACTTTCTCAACTGGCACAGATGTGTCCTCTTTCTTCTTCTTGTCCTTCTTCTTCTTTCTTTTCTCACCATCTTCTCCTTCCTCTTCACTTGACTATACATGCACACATCAAAAATCCATTAATTATTTTTCAACAATAATAATATTTTTTAAATAATACTATCAATATTATAAACGAATCAAAACGACAAGAACTGAATTATTCACCGATATTGATGTGTAGACATAAGTCGATATTGATGAGTGGTAAAATACAATAACAATATTACGTAGACATAAGTGACATAAAACGAATCAAAGTGATAAAGGCTGAATTACTTACCGAGCTTGATGAGCTGTCAGATCGGTGAAGTTTCTCCAAGAGACTGGTGTGTTTCTTTTCGCCTTCCTCTTCAACTTTGGTTTCTGATGGTGCTTCATACAAAGTCACCTTATGACCAAACTCGTGGGAAATCGCCTCATCTTGAGGAGGTTTATGTTCTTCATCCTTTTTCTTACCACCGAGAAAATCAAAAAGACCTCTGTCCTTGATCTCTGTCTCAGAGTTGGTTGCTGCGGATGTGGTCTCCTCGTACTTGTTCTGATTCTCCTCAGCCATGATGATGATCACTACTAACAAGATGGATCGAACTGGAAATCAATTAACACTAAGTAAAATGGATTATGTGGCTGAAAGGCAAAGTATGAGATGATGATGATAGTGTTGTTGTTTTGATGATGAAAAGCTGAGAGATGAGAGAGCGCTTTATACTAGTTCACTACTACACATAATGACACGCATTACCCGCGATTAAGATTAGAACTAATTAAAAAATTAAGATTAATCAAATTTAAAGGACAAGTAATTGACGTGTGGATTAAGTTTAATGACGAACATGAAATGAAATGAGTTTAGCCACGCTCCTACAACTACACGCGCTTCAATTATTTGTCCACCTTTTCATTTTCTTATTTAATGAACGTTTTTATTGAAAATATTAAATCATAGATGTTACTTAATTACTTATAAAAATAATTTAATTTTCAAATATTGGTCGGTAACAATGCTTTAAAAAACTGTATCCAACGAACCAGTCGGTTGAACTCAGAATTAGAAGAATTATCTATTTGATGATTGTTTGATCAAATATACTATTGAATTAATAAAAATAGATTAGATCCGATCAAATCTATAAAAAAATCAATAAACCTGCATTATTAAAAAACTGAAAGGTTAAATGCATGTATCTTTTAGATAAAAGAAAGTTGTTTTGATAATTTATTTTAAAATATAAGTAAATTTTATTTAAAACTTATTTAAAAAAAAATTTATTAGACATTATTCAAAATTTATTTTGATTTATATTTTATATTTTGTTGAGTATGATGACTATATTTAAATTTTGAATTTAAAGAATTAGCTTGTAAAATTATTATATTTTAAAATTTTAAAATTTTGTTAGTGTCGTAATATTTTTCAGACACCGAATTATTTGGTTTGACAGATTTAATAAATATATAGTTTTGTTATAGATATTGGTTTATTCAATCAAATTATTTGATATAATTCAATTTAATAATGTGATTCGACTAATGACTCATTGATTCAATCAATAAATCAGTGACTTAGACTTTGTTTGATAAAAATAGCGGTTGGGCGATAAGCTAGTTGATAACTTATAGCTTATAACTGATGATTGATTGATGATTGATGTCCGACAACTTATAGCTGATATTGGCTCTTCCTTCTATAATGTTGTCCCGAGAAGGGAATCGTTTGCCACACAACAGTTTAACATCATAAATTAAAAAGTTGGCATCGGACTTAGAAAAGATGAGCGAAGATAGTATCAAGGTTGAAGATAAGGTGGAAAAAGTAGTTACAACAGAGAAAGTGCCCGAAGAAATTGAAGATGCACATTCTGCTATTCTAGCATAAAAAGATGAAACTTATGGTACAATTGAAAATGAGGGCGAAAAAGAAAGTAACGGTGTTGAAAAGAAAGTTACGCGTACTGCAAACAATCTTCTAGCGGCTGTAATTGATGCCCAAATTTTTCATAAATCAACACAATCAGATAAAGCTCTTTTCAACTGGCTATACCCTGCACATAAAGATGAAAAAAGGAGCTTTAATGATGTCATGTTTATGCGTCTCAAGAAGCTGGGTATCTCAAAGCCTAGTCCAGATGATCTTACACTAGAAGAAGTAACTAAATTTACTAGACTTGACATTGACCCTGATTCTATTACATGGAGGAGAGTAATGGACATCAATGACCGATTCCTAAGGAAAATTTATGTTGGTTAGGGACGTGATGAGAAAGGAATGATAAGAGAGACAACAATTGATATTTATGTTGCTAGTGAGATAATGGTTGTTTTGACATTGACAAAATGGTTATTGGAAATAACAAGAGTGGTGACCCTCTAATTGTTGATGATCTAGGTGTTAGAGGCACTTTAACTGTTTTAATGAAGAATACAATTAACCCAACTCTTATACAAATTTTAGAAGAAACGCCTATTTTTGTTCATGCATGTCCATTTGTAAATATTGCTCATGGAAATTCTTCTATTGTGGCTGATAAAATTGCACTAAAGTTGGTTGGACCAGGTGGATTTGTAACTGGTTTTGGGTCTGATATTGGAACTGAAAAGTTCATGAATATTAAGTGTCGATATAGTGGTTTGTCTTCCCAATGTGAAATTATTGTTGCAACAATAAGAGCACTAAAAATCCATTGGAAAGGCATGTAGTTCTTGTTAGAAGACCTCTTGATCATGCATATCTGAATGAAAATGTTGCTTTGGTTGAGACTGGTTATGTGAATTTGGCAAGACACATAATAAATTCAAAACTTTATGATGCAAATGTTATAGTTGCCATCAACAAGTTTTCAACTGACACTGATGTTGAGCTAAATGCATATCAAAAAGCTTGTGAGAATGCGAGACAACCATTGAAGTTCTTATATCCTTTGGATATAGGTATAAAAGAGAAGATAGAGGCAATAGCAAAGTCATATGGAGCTAGTGGCGTTGAGTACTCAGAGCAGACCAAGACGAAGATTGAGATGACTACCAAGCAAGTGGATAGTATTGCATCTCAGTCTAAATTTGTCTTGATTCCATCAACTTCTATAGATGCTAACATCAATAATAAGGTGTGCCTTTTGGGAACAATGCTTTCCTGGGAAGAGCTATTGCGGTTTGAAGTTTTTCTCTTCATTGTGTGGGATCCAGGAAAGAGTAATGTAGCAACAACAATTTAGCATCTTAAGTTTTATTTTAGAATCTTGAGGACAAGGTTCAATGTGAACCGAACGACAACGATAGGAGGTGCAATTAGATATTTTAAATAGAAATATAATTATGTTAGTTGTTCTCTTTAAATGTTGTTGAATTGGATCTTTAATAAAATTTGGGTCTTATAGTTAATTATTTATTGAGAGTTCTATATATGTAGTGTCTATGACAGATTAGAGGATATGAAGAAATCAAATAAAAATTATTTTATTTCTTTTATTTTATTTAGTCATTTTAGTGTTCTTCCTTCTTTAATATAGAAACTCTAATTTCATAATTTTGATAGGAATCTTTCTATCATCAATTGACGTGTTTGATAAAAAACGGTTCAATTAATTGATAAATTAAAATAACATAAAAAATATTTAATGTATAATTTTTTTATTTAAAATTATAATAAATTAAAGAAAAAAAATCATAAACTACAATCTATAAATTAAAATATTATTTAAAATAGAAGTCAAAAAATAAGTTATAAATTAATAAGATAAATTATAAATTCGTGATAAAAATATTATCAAACAAATTTTTTATTAACATATAAAATTATAAACTATAAATTATAAAATATAAATTCAAAAAATATCTTGCGAAAGAGAACTACTTTTAATAATATGATGAACTTTTTTATTTTTAGAATATTGATTTATAAATTAAAAGTATAATTTAATAAAGATTTATAAAATTTAGTTTTGTTATGATGAATCGAATTGGAGGGAGCGAGTGGAATAACATGTAAAGCAATTGCGAAGATGGAAAGAAAAGGGGAAAGTGTGAAAAAGAAGAGGGAGACACGGCGTTACGAGTGATCTGTAACTACACCAATGAGGAAAGGACACGTGGCGAATAACGTGGGGAGGAGGTGTATTGCGGGACCCGAAAAGGTCGGTCCGGTTGCTTTGATATTTGAGATGTCGGCCTGGATGTATGTAGTGCATATTTAGGTGTGAATTATGAAAATGAAGAGATAAAAAATGGAGAGTCGGTGTCTTGGGGGACTCGTGGCAGTGGTGGAGATGCAGAATAAGGATGTATTTTTCAGACAACGACGTTGTTTTTAGCTTCTTCCATGTGATACTTTGTCCATTCAAATAGTCTTGTAAATGTAACCATGGAAATGGACGGTTTAAAGATACCTTGCGTTCATGATTTTCATTTGAACGTACAATAATTTTAATGTTAATGAATGGGGTAGGGTCTCACAATGTGAGATGGACTACACTCTTTTATCTACTCTTTTCATTTATTAAACTATATCCTCCTTTTATAATAATTTATAAATAAATTTTAGATTTTAGATTTATTAAATAATTAATGTATCTAGTTTATATATATATATATATATATATATATATATATATATATATATATATATATATATATATTTATTAAATATATATATATATATATATATATATATATATATATATATATATATATATATATATATATATATATATATATATATATATATATATATATATATATATATATATATATATATATATATATATATATATATATATATATATTATCTAATAAATTTAAAAAATAAAATTTATTTATAAATCATTAAAAAAAATCTTTTTAAAATTTAATTGAAATATATTGATAATATAAAATAATTTTATACTGTCATTTAATAAAAAATCATTAATTTATTATTTATCAAAAAAAATTATTTAAAAGAGTGATTTAAATAATTTTTTCATGACCATGTGGGTTTGATCGTTTTGAGATCACCTTGTATTTGTGTTTTATTATAATCAAAATTTGACGTATTCAAAAATAAAAGAGTGATTTAATTAAATATATAATAGTGATCGATTGAAAGTGTATAAATGTATTTTTAACTTTTTTATACTCAATACAATTAATTAAGTTTAGTATTTTTAACATTTTTTTTATAATGTAAAACAATTATTTATTATTTTATTTTATTTATTTTTCTTTTTGTAATACATAGCTAAGTGTTTGTTTTTTATACTAAATTCATAGTTAATGTGTTTCTTTCAATTATATATACAAAATAAAATATAAATTTAGCGAGTGTTTCATATTTCATTAAAAAACCTCTTTTTAATGTATGACGGTCTCCCTTTATTCTAATTTCTTCATTATTGAAATATTAAAATAGATTTGATTAGATTTGATTAGATTTTATATTTAAATATAATTTAAGTTGTGTTATCTCAAATTTAATTAGGATTGTATATAAATAGTCATAGTATGTATTCTTATTTTGTACAATTCATTAAGTGAATAATAGAATTCTTATTTTATTATTATTCTTTCTTTCTCTTCTCATTA